ATTGCTGGGAGCTACAATATTTTCGAGTACTTCCACTGCATGGCTTAATATGCAAAGTTATGAGGAACTGAGCCCTGCCTCTAGCTCCAGTTTTCGCTGGCCATACAGGCCCTACACAAATTTCGAATGGCCTTCGGCCAGGCCGAACTGCAGATGCCTTCAATAATATTGATATTCCATTTAGAATCTAGGGCCTGGCACTTCATACATATATGCTATGTTTGCGTATTTAAATTACATTTGGAAATAATTCCTGACAATGATTAAATATATAATATATTAATACTGCATATTAAAATGATATTTTGTTCAGCTAATATCTTGAGAAGCAATTGCAAATGTATTTATATTTAATATTACATATAATTACTATTAATTAAAACATTTCTCTAATTAATTGCAATGCGCAATGAAACGAAATATTTAGCGCACATTTATAGTGTAATGAGCACAAATGGGAGAAACAAATATTTTGCAGAATAAATGTGGAAAATGCAAATCAATATTGCATGTATTGTAAATTGTAAATTATACGTAAACTTCAATTGAGAATTAAAGTCTTAGATTTTATTTATACATTTGAATTTGCAAGTAAATACTATAATCTAGAGTATGATATATTCCTGTTTGAAATTATTAAAGTGAAAAAAAATTTAGAAAATTCATATTTATTATTATTAATAAGTTTTCTGTTGAGTATATAAATATTTAAGAACATTTCATATTCCCAAGAATATCTCACCTACAATATAAACGATGCGTGCCTATCGTATTATCACGATTCTATCGCATCACGTGACCTTCTCACTGGGGGCAGCGTCAAGTGCCGGTTAAGCGCATTAAATTGGCGGCCATTTTATAATTTGGAATAACATAATTTTGCCATTATTAACGGGCCGCACCACAAGCGCCACAAAAGCCCTTAGCAACGTGGTGGCAACGCGGACCGTGCTCCGTGCTCCGAGCTCCGTGCTCCACACTCGGTGCCACTTGTGCCACATTCCAAACAAATGTGCAGCAGACTTTCAGGCGAGTGTAAAATATCGCCACAGATTTTCAGTGTTTGGTTGCACGTTTAATTAAACAAAGCCCGGAAAATGTATACATGACGTATATATACATATATATATGGGGATATATATACATAAATATATTTATGTAGTGAGGGATATAGCTGAGAGGGAAAAGGCTAAGCTTTATGCCACGGCAGCTATTTTTTGTTATTTCCTTTTTTTGTTTTTTGTTTTTTGGCCTGCTCACCGCCCGCTTGCTACAACATTTCAATTAAAAGTTAAACTGCATGTAATTTCCAGGAAATGTGTAAGTAATAACACTGTCCGCTGCGCTCTACTTGAGCCAAATTAATTTACGAAATAAAAATAAAAACACAAAATCCCACAAGATCAAAATAAAAAGGAAGGTTAGCCAAAAGGGTTTGTTGCGCCAGACCCAAAGCAGGCCTGGTATTAATTAAGACAAAAAAAGGCAGTTGAAAAAAACTTCTAAAGCTAAAAGCTGCGCAATTTGGATTTGTTGGCCAAAGGAGGCTTTAGGGGCTTTGTTCTTCTGCCGCCAGCATTGGGTTATGTTTTGGGTTTTCCAATTTCCAAACTGAATTCAATTTCAGCTGCTGCGATTGCCGTTAGCCAGTTTAGGCCATTGCACACTCATTGGAAATGGCTGAACGAGAGGGTCTAATGGCTGCTGGCTAAGACAACAGGCAAGAGGAAGCTGCAGCTATGTAAGGGATAATTATTCCTTATTAGGGCAACAAGCGGAACAGTCATTAAAAGTGCGAAAGCCAAGAATATTTATGTTTACCTAACATTTCTTAATTGAAGCAGCTTCAGATCTATCGATATATTTGGTAAACGGATATAAAGTATGGACAGATAAGAGTTAAGCTCCCCCAGCCCTGCCACCTTGATAAACAAAATGTGAAAGTCAGCTTGACAGCTTCTAGTAGCAGAGCGGTGCGGGTACCTCCTAGTCGTACCCTACCGTCTTGCTTGGTTTCTCTTTGAGTATATGCTCCGCTGGCTGGAGCATAGATTCATTGTGCATTTATGAATGTATGTAAATGCTTAGAGTGCCAGCCAGTCGCAATTTCAATTAGCCGCCCACGCGGCGCGCCACGCCCGCGAATCGCGTTTAATTTCGCTGAATGAAACGAGATACGCCATAAATAGGTGATAATTGCCAGACACAAAAACAGCAAACGAAATGCTCTGCGATGAGTGTAACAAATGGAAAAGCAAATTTCATTCACAGATGCAAATTTTCTGTGTGACACACAAATAAAAACCAAACAACAATCAACAGAAGCAAATAATAAACAAGCAAAAATAAAAATTGGAGCGTAGGAAGTGTCGGTTCCCTTCACAGAAATCGACAATCGACAAACATTTTATGTAAATACATCGGAAACTGCCAACTGACTCTGGGGTGAGTTTTATTTTACCTTCCGGCGTAGGAGATAAGGGCAGAGAGCTAGCTTTAAACTATAGCCATCTCGCCCTCTCTCTCTCTCTCTTTCACACCCACACACATTGTAGACATGCCCATGCATACCTAAACAGCCATCACATGTGCCTGGGGCCATGTAGAGATCAGAGAGGGCAAACGCTAAGAGTAAATAAATGAAACTGATGGACCAGCCGAATGAAATATGAAACATAATCGAGAGCTGACAGAAGACAGACAACTAGAGAGAGAGCGAGAGAGAGAGAAAGAGAGAGAGAGAGAGAGAGACAGAGAAACAGTGAGCGAAAGTGGATCGAAAAGCGATTATGTAAAACACTTTCAGTGCTGAACATGCGGCACACCGAATACCATTTGAGCTGCTTCAGCTGGGAGTACTTAACTGTAAAGTACGACAGGTCAAGCTGCACATCAAGGCATGAAATTTGCAAATAGAAATTAGAATAGAGAATAGAACGAAAACTATAAAATACTACAACGGGAGCCCAAATATCTATGAAATCATGCATGAAAAGCAAATCTGAATTTAAATAAGAAGTGATTAATAAGGAATCAATTACTGCAGATGTATGAGAATTTGTGTCTACATCTGAATTTATAGACACATTTCTCCAAACACCAGCCGTCACACCCAGAAATACGCTGCCCAAAAGTATTTAAAGAATTGCTGCAGCGACGCTATCTGATAGCAAAATCCTTTTAGGCTTAGGCCCGGCACTGAATGCGAAACTGGAGAGAAAGAAATCAGCATTTAAATGGGATTTTAGACCCAAAGTAAATACATACATATATGTAGATATACATGTGTGTATGTATGTATGTATTGCTTGAATAAAAACTATTGTGTTGAAAAAACATGCTCCAAATTCAGTTCAGATTTATTGCCCAAGCTTCGGCAGCTGGCAATGATGGAAAAGTTTTCAGTGTGCACTGCGTGCAACTGTAAACAGAACAAGGGAGGAAAAGAAACGTAGAAAATTAAAAGAGCACTCTGAGCGATAAGGTGCCAAAAAGTTGGCTAATAACAATTGGCATAACAGCTTCAATAAATGCTCCGATAAATGCCAAGGAAATGCAAAAGAAATCAGAAAAGTGTTAAGTAAGAAACAATTTACATAAAAGCATTTCGTTCAGTTTGATTGAGTGTGCGTAGTTTAATAATCAAATTATTGGCCTTACAGATGGCATTGGATGTTCTGCCTTGTGCGCTGATGTATGCGGAATCCCATTGACTTTGACATAAAAGCGTAATCGACTTTAATATTAAAGCGGCGCCACGCCCAAGTCACATTCCACATTCGCACACACACGCAGGCCAGGCACACACACGCACGGATACAGAGCAGAAATACACTCTCAGTCAGGATGCTTTGTAAATTGACTGCTCAACATTTGTCATTGGGGCGCAAGGCAGAAAATTTCGCATACGCAGCGTATTACAAAGCTCACAAGCCACTCGACGCAACGAGGCAAAATGCTCTAGCTCCATGTTATGCACGATTTCACAACAACAACATCAACAAAAATGACAACAACAACAATAACAGCAACGTAAACGTAAACGTGAAAGTAAAAATGGAAAAAGGCTCTCAAAACGCACGCATAGGCAATCAGAATAGCATAAACCTAAAGCGCAAGAAATGAAATGAAACGTGCACTGCGTGAGTGTGTGTGTATGTGTGTGTGTGTGTGTGTGTGTGTAGGGTATTAGAAACCATTTACCTATCCACACAGGCCCATTACACATGCACATAAGGATAAGAGACGACGACAGCCAAAACAATTTTTATAGGTAAACTTTACCTTTCCTTCCCGCTGGCCCTTCTCCACTATGGAGCAGACTCGTGGAATGGGCGGCTTGGCGTATCAACAGCACTTTGGGCGTATAAACACAAAGTGCTGCTACTTGGTCGTCTCTCTGTCTCTTTTACTTTGTTTAAGCTCTCTCTCTCTCTCTCTCTCTCTCTCACACACACTCTCGCTGTTTCTTTCTCTGTGCGTTTGCATTTTGTTTGTGCTTCGCTTCGCTGTTTAGTTTAGGGACTGGCCAACGTGGCGTATGTGCGTTTCCATTCCGCTATGTAATGCCACGGTGGCATATGCTTTTGTTATTTTTGCCAAATAATTAGATTAGTGTTTTCGCATGAATACGCACATAGTCAAAGCGACCTCTCCAGCTAGCCTTAACTGACGATCAAATATAAATATGTATGCTAACACAACTATGAAATTCTTGTTCAAGTCTTCAACTTTAGTTTACTAAAAACTTTAGTGTGTACATAAATTAGTTAGGCGAGCGCTTGCTCATTTAAGATGCTAAATCAAACGCTATAAATATGTAAATACAGATTAAATGCAGATTCCGTTCAAGCAAGCGCTCACTGTATTTACTTTAACGAGCTGAGCAGCCGCTTTATATATTGACTCAGTCGAACATCAGCGACAACGACAACAACAGCATCTCAACCTTCATAGCTTTGATCGTCGCTCCGATCGGCACAAGTTTCAGTTTCAATTCGGCAGCCAAGCAGCAAACACTACTCTACACGGTTACAGTCCGCTCTTGAGAATTCATGATGAGAACTCTGGCAATTCTGGCGCTCGGCCTTTGCCTATGCCTGTGCCTGGCCAGCGTGCGGGCCGGCAAGGTGGGACAGCAGCAGGTGGGACCACAGCGACACCTGGTCTGCTACTATGACTCGTCGAGTTTTGTGAAGGAAGGTGAGTGCAGACGGAGCAGAGTGAGCGAGGGCTAGACAAAGTGCTTACGTAATCCCTAGAGACACTCGCAGGCCGAGCGGCACTTGATAATTGGCCATAAATACCTATGAGACATATATAAAGCAACAGCGACTGAAACTGAAACTGAAACAGAAACAGAAACTCAAAATCAAATCTGTGCGTTAAGTCGAGCAGCTTGGAAACAAAGTGCGGCTTATCAGCGAGTTTTGGAAATTAGGTTTATTTGTTTGTTTTTCTCGTGAGGCGATAACGAGCAGAGCCAACAATTTAATAAATCCCCGCGAATACACTGAGCGAAAAGCGGCTCACTTGTGAAAGAGACGAATACAAATTGAGCTATAAATTGTGACTGAGACAAATTTATGCACATAAAAATGATTTAAAAATTTTGACTGAAAAAATTTAATATTTAATTTTTAAAGTATACATTATATTGTTAATATTGTTAGTAATTATTTACTTTATACGTGTATATTAGCACAGAGTATCATAAATCAGAAACTGTTTACTTTAACTAAGCTAAGATCATATTTCATTTCGCGAAAGTTCCCCAACAACTATTCAGTTTCGATCTACGAACTTAGGTTAGAAACAGCCCATTCATTTCTTGCAGTGCATAACAAAGTTTGTTTTGCTTTGCCTTGCTTTGTATTCAGGTCTGGGCAAACTGGTGATTGATGATCTGGAGCCCGCCTTACAGTTCTGCGATTATCTGATCTACGGCTACGCGGGCATTGAGCGAGACTCGCATAAGGCGGTGAGTCTCAACCAGCAGCTGGACTTGGATCTGGGCAAGGGCCTCTACCGCACCGTGACACGCTTGAAGCGCAAGTATCCCAACCTGCGGGTCCTGCTTAGCGTGGGCGGCGACAAGGACATTGAGACCGGCGACGATGCCAAGGACCTGCCCAACAAGTACTTGGAGCTGCTGGAGAGTCCGACAGGCCGCGCTCGGTTCGTGAACACCGTCTACGCGCTGGTCAAGACCTACGGCTTCGATGGCGTCGACATTGCCTGGCAGTTCCCCAAGAACAAGCCCAAGAAGGTGCACAGCGGCCTGGGCAGCGTCTGGAAGAGCTTCAAGAAGGTCTTTAGCAGCGACTTCATTGTGGATGAGCGCTCCGAGGAGCACAAGGAACAGTTTACAGCGCTGCTGCGCGACGTGAAGAACGCCTTCCGTCCGGACAATCTGCTGCTCTCAACGACCGTGTTGCCCAACGTAAACTCCTCGCGTAGGTTCTTCAGATCCCTCACCTGAGATCTTTCTAGAAAGTCTAGTCTAATCGCCTTGCCTTCTGAATTTCTGTAGTGTTCTTTGATGTGCCCGCTGTTATCAACTATTTGGACTTTGTGAACCTCGCCGCCTTCGACTTCTACACCCCGCAGCGCAACCCAGAGCTGGCTGATTACACGGCGCCCATCTACGAGCTGAGCGAACGCAATCCCGAGTTCAACGTGGATGCTCAGGTCAAGTTCTGGCTGCGTCACAGTTGCCCGGCCAGCAAGATCAATGTGGGCGTGGCCACCTATGGCCGGCCCTGGAAGATGACTGACGATTCGGGCGACACCGGCCTGCCGCCCGTCTCCAAGGTGGTCGACGAGGCGCCCGTGGGCCCCCACACGCAGCAGCACGGCATCTACAGCTGGCCCGAGACCTGCGCCCTGCTGCCCAACCAGAACAACGCCTACTCCAAGGGCGCCAATGCGCCGCTCACCCGGGTCACAGATCCCGCCAAGCGTTTCGGCTCGTACGCCTATCGTGCTGCTGACAAGAAGGGCGACAATGGCATCTGGGTGAGCTTCGAAGATCCCGACACCGCCGCCGACAAGGCCGGCTATGTGCGCAGCAACAATTTGGGCGGAGTGGCCCTCTACGACTTGTCCTTGGACGACTTCCGTGGCCTCTGCACCAACGACAAGTACCCCATACTGAGGGCTGTCAAGTACCGCCTGGCCCACTAGGCTTTGCCGAATCTTAAGTTTTCTCATGTAACCATCAAATTTAATTTTGAAAGGACGCATTAAAGATGAAAGTCATGTGAACTTGCTGTTGTTGGCTGAGCGGATTAAAGCAGTTGGAGCTGTGCGAGATGAAAGTAGTAGAAAGCATAGATAGACAGACTACTTCTTTCTGCCTCAGCTTCTCGTTTCCTATATATCGCTTGCAGTCGCCTTATCTCTTCTTATTTCTCTCACTTTGTTGATTTGCTTGGTTTTCCAAGAAAATGGTAAAGAAGAATGTTAATGTTTTTTTAGAGGCTAAAGAATTTTGAGAGACATCTCTCTCACTGGCACCATCTCTCCTTCTCTCTCTCGCTCTTACTCTAAAGTCGCTCTAATTTCCCAACTCAACGTTAGCTTATCGCCTCGTATAAAGTATTTAGTTGTATGGCCTCTGTTCTATAGTCTCTCTACGGCGTATGAGGCTTTATTGCGTATATGCCAAGCTGACTCATGCCTAACTTTTTTTTTTTTTTCAAATAATTGGATTAGTATTTGTGTGCAGAAACAGCCACAAAGCCACCCACTACCCGCTACCTGGCTCAAACACATGTATACGTTTCCGGAATTTTTATGAATTTTCGTTGTTTTGTTTGGTCATGTGTGTGTGTGTGTGCATGTGTGTGTGGTTAAGCTTTGGGTTATTTGAGATTTCAATGCGTGTGTATGAGTGTACATATGTTGGTGCGCTTTTTTGTATATTTGTCTGGATTTTGGGCAACAATAAACTAACAAGCGCGAGCGGATTAGTTTCCTGCTCCAGCAGCAGCTCTAGAATTTCCATTATTTTTAGTTAGTTTGCGCTTCGGCAAATTTTCTGCGGCAAATTTTGCTGCAGCAGTGGCAAATGAAAAGCTTTTGCATATTTTCCCAACTCACAAAATTGTGTAGGCCATTTGTTGCGCCCAGAAGTATGCAGAAGTATGCAAAACGAGCAGAAGGCAAATAAAAATGAGCAGAGGAATGTGAATGGAGTAGAATAAAAAGTAGAATTTAACTACGACGGCAACTGCTTCCAACTAATTTAATAAATATAAATATGCAAAATTAAATAATTTGTAGCAATACATATACAAAAAAAAAAAAAATATTTGAAATGAAAACAATGCTTTAGGGCATGCTTGTAATTCTACCTTATGCATACGAGAGCAGAGCTTTAAGGCGAGTCATGAAAAAGGTAACCACGTAAAAAGGCAACGTAAGGAGGCAACGCACGGCAGGAGGCAGGCAGGTGGCAGGTAACTGCGTGTCGAATCGCGCCACCTGGCTAAAATGGCAATAAAATTGTTATAGAAATCTGGGGAAAAAAATTCGTTGGCTGCTGCTGCTGCTGGGAGAGTTTGCCTGGAGATCTTGCGCCTGCATTGTTTAAATATTATTTACGAGCCGGCATTAAAGTCTTCTCAATGCGAAGCTCACAATTTGCCCAGAGCCTGATTTATGCCCCCTAGGACTAGAAACTTAAGCAGCGCAAATTCGATGCTAAAAGTTGAGCATTTTGCCAAAATTTTGCTGATTGAGCGGGAGAGGGGGAGACAGGAGAATGAGAGTGCGGGTGGGAGAGGCAGAGAACAGTGCGCTGGGCAGTCAAGCGGATGGCAGCTGCCAAGCTTAATGCCAAATCCATTAGCCGTTAGCGCTGGCTGCGTTGGCTGCGTTGGCAGCGCTGCTCACGTGTAATCAGACAGCTGCCGCCTGAGGAACTTGCTCGACAATCATGTCTGGAGAGCTCAGCACACACACACACGGACACACGCACACGCACACAAGCACACGTTAACTCGTAAGCTTTTCAAATATATCGATCGTAAACAACAACAAACTCTAAAACACAAACATCAAGGAAGCAATAGTCCAGGCTAAGGAATATATATTTTTGATACTCTATGCGATGGTTATTGTTGCTGCTTTTGTTGTTGTTGTTGATGTTGTTGGCGCTGCTGCTGCTGTTGCTGTCGTTACAAGTTGAGCAACTTTTTGGACACACAGCAAAAGTTAAGAGCTGGGCTTTAAGACTGTCAACAGCTGCCTGAAGGTAGCCCAACAGCAAGGATCTACGCCGCCGTTTGTTGTGGCTGCTGCTGCTGCTGCTTCTTCTTCTTCTTCTCCTTCAGGTTGTCAAGTTGTAAGAAGTACATGCGAGTATTTTATGTACATATATTGAAAACGAACTTCTGCTCACGACTGCTTGACTTGGGCGTTGCCCTGTAAAGTTTCAAATTTGTTTATTTGTAAACGAAATGAAATTCTATTCATTAAAATCGAGACTGCATCTGGATATTTATTGCATTTATCGATAAATAGTTTGAATCATTCGTTTATGGCTGATTATACATATATATAAACTGGGAGCATACAAACATAATATATGTCAGCTGACAAACTGTTTTATAATATTCATTAATTTTGAGTATAATTCATGGTGAAAAATTAGAGAAGGAACTTAAATATAACCAAACTATATGCTGTTTGTCTCTTATTTTATTTATTATTAATTTCTATAATTTTTCGTTATTAAACAATGAATACATTGCGATCATGACAAATTAACTGAATCACGACAATGGATAACCAACTTATTCTCTTCCTATAGAGAACTTAATTAAATCACAAATTCTTTTTATTACAAAAACGACAGTTATCGATCAAATTGAAAAGACCATAATCTAGTATCTGTTATGATAATTTATAATTTTGTATTACTACATATACTTATGCTAAGTCAGTTAGACCTAGCTACAGCTTAGGTTTGTTTGTCCAACAGCAATTGACCCGGTTTATTGGCCCGCTGGGCAAGATGGATACAGGGTATAAAGGAGCTTTTCAATTTATGTCACGGCAGTGGCGGAAACTTTTCGACTGTCATTTATTGCATTTTGTCGCAGCTGCGTGGCATTTTTTTTTGTATTTTCAATGTGCTACATAGATTCTATTCGCCTAGTTCTGGCAGCCATTATCATTGTCTATACACACACACACGTACGCTCATACACACTCGCACACAGCCATAGGCAACATTTATGGCTCATTCCCATTTCGTAGCCGGCAAATTGCCAATGTGGAGCTCAGGAAATGCTTTACTTGATTTAGCTGCTAAGTGCAGCTGCAGGCGGCAAGTGGCAGCAGGCAGGAGTAGCAGCAACACCAGCAGCAGCAACAGTAGCAGCAACAACAAAAATAGCTGTGTGCAGACCATACCCCCATCTCCATCTGGCCCTTCTCCTGTTGTCCACAAATGTGGCATGGATTTTCGGCAACAATGTTCTCATAAATTCCCTTGGCGCTTGTAAAAACAATTATGCCAGATATTTACGCCGCAGTCGACGTTGACGTCGTTGCAAGTGCAACAACAACAGTTGCAGCAGTCGTTGAGCATTTTTGCCGTTAACACATTTTGGTTTCTCATTGCGCCCTTTGACACCGCGAGCCTACGTGCCTATCTGCCCTGTAATTTCCTCATATTATTTCTGTTGGTTTAACGCGTCGTATGCGCAATATCGCTTACACGCCTCTGCTCGCAATTAAACGACAAATGTTGTAATTAAGAGCGAATGCGTATTGTTTAATTAAAATGTGAAGCAAAAGCTTCCAGCTGACTGCAAATGCAATACGATACTGCTTGTTCACTTCACGGTGTGCGTGTGTGTGTGCGTGTGTGTGTGCGTGTGTGTGTGCGTGTGTGTGTGCGTGTGTTCTCTTTGTGTGCTTGTTTTGGCGTCTGCTTACTACTAGAATTTCATTCGAGTGTTTGCCAAACTATTCACATTTCATATTCGCATTTATCCACGCCAAATATGTGACACCACCCGCATAATTGCACCACCTGCCTCAGCTGCAGGTGGCGAGCGTGTATAAACAGGTCGTTCAAATTTAAGCGAGTTCAGGCCAAGCGGATCTTCTGGCCCACTCTCTGTTGATGTTGGCACCTAGTACACACAGCCAGGTAACTTTTTATGAACAGCCCGATAGATATTCTGCCAACATTTGTGTTTGGTATGTAAAGTTAGCCGGGCGAATTTTAAAAATCAACAAGTTCTTTACCCGCACAACATAAAGTTTCACTCTAGAGCGAAAGTCATTCAAACTAACTGCATAGGTCAAGTTGATCAGTCAACGTGTACGTGATCTGAAGACTAACTACCTTTGTCTGTCAACGTTAAGACAATTCTCATGAGATTTTTGATACAATATAAAATTTGAGACCCTGCACAGAGATTTTTGGCACAGCCTGAAGGGCTTAGTCAAGGCAAAAGTTTATCGTATTTCACTATTGAATCGATTCTGGAATTTTAAACTATTTTTCCATATTTCGTTCTTTTAGCCATATAAAACTCAGTTTCAAAAGCAATTTTATGACCCTTCGAGTGTCTAATCCTATTAAATAGTATTATAATTATTCATTTGAGTTTAACTTGATTTAAATATATATTACAATTGAATTGCTTTCTATATTCTACTTTGAGTTTTTCACCCAAATATTCGATTTGCTTTCCAAGTTTCTCTCGCGATTCAGTTGAATTTCGTTTTTCGTTTCATGCTAAATAGAATGGAATTTTAATTACCAAATGCTATAAGCCATTTTTTCGCAACTAAAAGCTGTTAAATATTCTTTGCATAGGTAATTGGTTCTCCTTTCACTTTGCGCAAAAAAGAATAAAAAGAAAAGAAAAGAAAAGCAAAAAAAAAAAAAAAAACGAAAACAAAAGAGAATAGAAAATTTCCAAATGAATCTGCGACCAAACCATATCATAACCAACAGAGTTCTCGCTGATTGTGTGTGTGTGTGTGTGTGTGCGTGTGTTTTGGTGTTTGCTTTGATGGCCACATTCACTTCATGGCAAACACTCGGATTTCGCAGTCACGTTCGAACTTTAAGCGGGCTTCGTGTATTCCATGGTGTGCCCGAATTTCGCAAAACGGATTTTTGGTATACCACGCAAAGGTTGGGGTTAGTGCTGCTAACCTAACCATGGCTAAAGCAAATATAATACACACACACATACACGCAACCGCAGCAGGATAATGGCATGTGCTTAGGCCAACACCCAAAGCCAAACAGAACCAAACCATAGTTGAGCTGTTTGTAAAATTTCAGTGTGGTCGCTACTTGGGGATTCATACACGTGTGTACGTTTATATATCAATATATATAAAAATATCCACATATACATATATATATTTTCTAAGAGATGGGGCGTATACTTAATAAGCTTGGACTTACGTTATGGCGCTTTTTCTCACGTTCCGGCACCCCATGCCAGCTGAATTGTAAATTCCAATCGAAGCCGCCAACGTTGACCCCACTGGAGTCGCGATAGTGAAACTCTAAGGTCGTATCATCGATAACATCTATAACGGGACAGACGACTGTGGTCGAGTTGCGGGCAATGCGATCCAGCAGCGGCTCCAGCCAACCTGCAAAGGCAAAAGAACAAATGACTTTAGTTGCTGCGTAGAAGGCGAACGGTAGGGATTGGCTTAAGTTTGATTAATAAATGGATGGGCGGACAAAGTGGGGGAGATTCATGGTCAGGGTGTATCATATAGCAAAATGGTGAACTGTGAAAATATAAAGTATGCTCCGGTTGACGAAAAGAAATGAAGAGCTGTGTGTGTGTAGTAATTGAAGGAATAGTGGCTTATGATTGATCGATTATAGAAAGTAAAGCAAATATAATAAATATAAAGAAATATAAGAAAAATATTATAACCAAGAGCGGTTGGCAAAAGAACAAACAATCTGGGATCTAAAAGTATTTGATGAAAAATATTTGAAAAATATTTTATAAATATGAACATTATAGATTGTTCAAGCTCGAAAATTAAATTAAATGGATTTATTAAGAATGACAAACATGAAATCGTTTCATTCCATAATTCTATACGTAGCAAACATTTGTGTATACAACGTATTTAAGATTTGTTAGATTTATAAAATTAGAGATATTATTATATTGAAATAGTTTTTTGTTTTGTATTGTTACCAGAAGAGAATTATGCCTTTCAGTAATTTAGATTTAAGCTAGTGGATTAGCCAACTTTCTCTCAGTATAGTATGTAGATCCTTTGCTTAAGTGTATCTGCTTGTAGCTTGATTTAATTGCTTTTGCCAGGCGCTTTCCTTGTCCAGCTCGAGCGCCTGGTCGCGTCATCCATCATCGACGTTGAGGACAATGATGACAACGTCAAAGTAAAATGGAAAGACCAAAAATTGTTTACCTTCAACAACTTTCGCAAACACACGCACACAAACACACGCACACATTCACGCGCGTTCTTTGAGTTGAAAGTTTTTCTGCATGAAATTCTTGGATACTCTTTTTACACTAACTTCCTCTCTCGTTGTCTATATATGTCTCATGTTCTTGGATTCGTCGAATTCATGTGCAATAAACAAAATTGATTGTGTGTTAGCCCTTCCATCACTTGCCCTGGACAAAATGAAATTTTGGCCAAAAAGAGAGGGATAACGAGAGAGAGGGATAACGAGAGAGAGGAAGAGAGAGAGAGAGAGAGAAGAGTACAAAGCAATCAGCGCTATCAACGCTCGAGTGCGGCCCAAACAAAACTGAAGATTAAGTGATTTACTAGTTGGCTTTGTTTTATTGCCAGCATTGTTTTTGTAGCTGTTTTTATTTGTGCTTTTGCTGTTTTCGTCGCCGAAACTCATCTCTGGGCTATCAAATGTAACAACACAATTGATAGCCACGTTTAAAGCACTTTGAGGATTTACAAAATGCGAAATATGCCTAAAGCAAACAGCAGAAACGGAAATAACAAGAAAATAGTTTACGCATTTGTTTGTTTTTTTTTAAGGGCTCCCTTATTGTTTGGCAGCAAATATTGATTGTATTTCAAGGCCAAATATTTCGCGAGCAAAGCCTCTGCGCCATTTTTGGCCTAATTAAATAATTAATTTACCGTTATTACGGCTAGGCCAATAAAAACAATGCCGGCAATTTGCCAGTCAATTAAAACGTTTTGCCAACAAATCGAAATATTGCATCAAGCATAAGCCAACAATTAAATGGAAACAAAAAATTTTGCATACTTTTAGGCAGTGCAAATAATTTTCGGAATTGAATGAAGCAGGTGTATAGGGGCGGAAATGCCAGAGAAGCACAACATAGTTACGATTCATGCTTGGTTATACAATGGGAAATATATGGAATATATGGTAGTTATACTGAAATAATTATACAGGCATTTCACTTCATTCTACTGGATTCTCTGCGGGCGCGGGAGGAAGCATTGCATACCAGAGGTATGCACAAATATGAGAATGTCTATGATTTATACGGGCCATTGGAACGTCTTCACTTACCCTCCGCACACTCGCAATGCGAGTCCAGATAGGTAATCACAGGTGATTTGGCATATTTGGCGCCCAGCAGGCGAGCACGTATCAGGCCCTCACGTTGCGCTCCTCGCACAATCTTCACCATGGGATAGGAAGCGAAGTAGTCCTCCAGCTGCTTCTTGAGATGCGCTGCAGGAGTAGATAACATATTATTACAATGGGAATGCCACGTTATGACAATTTGAGTACTCACGCATGTCGCTGAAGTCATCCACCAGAATAATCTCACCAATCAGCTCCGGGGGAGATCGATCCAGCACGGAGTGAACCGTGCGTATCAGCACGGACCACGCCTCGTTGTGGAAGCAAATGATGACATCCGTCTTGGGCAGATTGCTCAGATAGAGCGCGCTGTCCTTGCACCAGGCGTCGCGCGGATCGGGCAGCGAGCGGTGCACGGATATTAAATCGGAGACATATTGATTGAAGGCGTTCTTCGTCCAGCCATCGTCCACGGCCTTCTTCATCTCCGGCGACATGTCCTTGGGCAGGATGACAGGCTTGCCCATCTCGCCAGGGTTATCTTCCAGATTAGCAGCGGGCGGATCCAAGAAACTTTTATCTGAAAAAGAAGAAGATGCCGGGTGAAAAGTTGTTGTTAAATGTGCCTGAAAATTGCTTGGGTTTATTTTTGGTCGGGTGCATAGAGAGTCTACTCCTGCTGCTCCTGCTGCTGCTGCTGCTTTGTTGTGCATGAAATTTACGACTGGCACAACATGCGACACTCGGCGAAGATAAATCGCAAATGCATTTGACATGAAAAGTTGTCATCATCAGCGTCGTGAATGAAAAATGCTTTTGCTTGCAAATTCGCTAGTCAAGCGCACAGTGAAACGCAAGATATTTGCATTATTCTGCTTATAAAGAATATTTAATGAAAAGGAGAGTAGAGCTTTAGAATTACGTGAATGCGAGGCAGCTAATGGCATAATAATACACTATATAAATGTACGATTTATTATTTATTGAGCAGATTAAAAGTCAATTTGACGATTTCCTTTTAATTATAACTATGGCGAGTTTCACAATAAATGTCTACAATTTATTTCATTTAGTATTATGGATTAGTTTTAGTTACACTTGTATATATTTTAAGTAATTGAACGCATAACGCGATCTTTATGTGCGATTTCGATCACTTCATGTGACCTCTATTTGACTTTCACGACTTCAGTTCTTCATTATCTAAGTCCGCTACGCGACTGCTCTAGTTGACGACTTTCTTACGACTCTCTTTCTTAGCGATGACTCATCTAACTCTAAGCTTGCTTTAACTCCGAATTACTCTCTTTCTTAGCGATGGCTTATCTAACTCTAAGCTTGCTTTAACTCCGAATTACTCTCT